CACTGCTATTAGTGGTTTCCGTGCTTTGCTCCAATAATTGACTTTAACGTTAATTTTCCTGACTACTGGCGAGGGTGTTTTTCCTTCAAATGCTTCAAGTTTTGATAAACGACCTTTCCTCATTTGGAATGGGTGGCCTGGGCACCGGGACAGGATGTACATTTCACAGTTAATGTAATACCATCCACCCATTCAGGATTGAGGAGGAATAAAAAGTTGAATTTTCTAATCAGAGCTCAGTTTGTAGTATTTTTGTCTCTGCGGTTGTGCGGTAGTATGTTCTAACTCAGTAATTAGATTTACAAGCAAGAAATGAAACATGTCCAGCTGCCAAGTATTGTACCTGATATTTTTTTTTCCTCCTCTGAATGTTAGTTATCATGTAACTTAGTTGAAAGGCTTAGAAACAGAAAAATGGCAAAGTAGTCTCAAATAGTTGCTTTATCAGAGTTCTGGTGGTATTCTTATGAACTGTTCTTATTCGGAAATGCAACACTTGAAGCTGTTTTTGAAAATCCTTTGGGGAGAAGGTTTAGAATGCTTTGTTTTACAGGAATTAGAAATTTAAGCGGCAGGAGAAATACTATTAACAGACGAAGTTAAGTCTGGGCATTTTAAAACAATATACTGATCTTACAAAGTTTTCAGTGTTAAGGAAGCTTATACATAGATACTAAATTATTTAATCTTGTTATTTCGGGTAGATTCTGTGGAATAGGGATTTTCTTTTTCTTTGTCCACCCAGTAGTTTTTAAGGTTTTGGGGTGATATCAATGCTACAAATTTAACACATTGAAAACTTTCCTATGAAAACCCAAAAGATTATATAAATCTCACAAGGAATAAGCAACTTAACCCATATTCAGAATAAGATCTTACAGGACTTTTGACGAACAGGAAGACTGGGAGATTAATATTGACAAAGTTTTGGCATTTTTAATACAACTTGGCAATCTTGTTTATATTAAGCATACTTATCTATATACTAACACCCACTTATTGTGGCTTAACCCTAGTACATATAATGAAACACACAAACAGGAGTCTCAAGGCTTATTTTCAGTATGTATAATCCTGACTCTGAAGTTGTGTCATAACTCAAGAAAGAACTTTCTTTCAAAACAATTTCCAATAGTAATATTATTTTTGTGAAAGATGGCAGATTTCCTTCTATAATGATGTTCATTTAGCTTGGTTGCAAATTTTTCCCTTCTTCCTAGTGTAAGCTTTTCAATCAGAATGATATCAAAGGCCTTAATCGCACATTTGCTTTACAGAGATCCAAGGTGTCTATCCCTTATATTTCCCAGTCCACGTCCTTAAATGTGACTAAATCTCTAGAGGTAGATGTGGCAAAAATTAGATTGTGTTCATTTTTAACCAAAAAGTTTATTTTATTGAAATTCTCAAAAAATAAAATATATATCATTTTTACCACTGCCACAAAAGAAGGGCTAAATCAGTAGGGTTTTATCAACAGGGAAGTGTAATATCTTGGCCATCTATATGGTTTGCATTTATAAAATATTATTTATTCTAAATATATTCATACTTACTTTGTGATTGTTTTTTAAATAAACAGTTTAAAGAGATAGACAACTTTGTATGTATTTTTCAATGGATATTTAATTTCATAAACATTTGAGAGTCTACTATGTAATCTATTTATTTTAAGTTGTTATGAATATACCTAAATATAAATGAAACCAGTTAAAATGCTGAACTATTTTCTGGCATGTTAATGAGACTACATTTTTTTCCACAACTAAATTGCATGTATTATATAATTGCATGCTTCTCTACAAGATATTTTATAATTATGAGAGCATAACAGAGACCCCTATTAGAGTGAAATGTATTCATACTACCATAGGTAAGTCTTTTTCATATGAATTATTTGTATGTTGATAGCAAATTTTAATACATTCTGACTTTTAAAATGTTGGCAGTTTACAAATAGCTACTCCTAAATGTCTGATAATAGCTGCAAAAGGAAATAAGATGGCATCCCCAGTAGATTATTAAATATGCTCAAACCACAAGACAAAGTTGTCTGTCTCAAAATACACATTAAATATCTTATTTTCTCTTCGTTTGCTCACTTTAAAATCAGGAAGCTAGTTAGAACTTTAAGAGACAGTAAGTGATAGAGTAGGATAACTGTTTCATTCTTTTCAGGAATGGTTGCCATACAGTCATCTCCTGTCTAATACATGGTATATCATGAACTTAGCTTTGATAAATCAGTATCATAAACAATGTAGCACACCACTGATTATTTAACACTTTAACAATCGGTAACATTTTAAAATTTCAGGTAAAGGATTCTAAGCTCCAAACACACCCAGTAGCCAGTATGAAATAACTTACAAAGAAAAAAATATTTTTAAAAAAACATTGGAAATTTGAGCTATATATATTTGAAAAAAAACTTGTGAAAATTAATAATTTAAGAAAATATCAGGTCCTGTGTTTTAATAGATCATTTTTATATTAGGTGATGGAGTCTGATGTGTGGAAACACTTCTTTGTGGGTTTAAAGAAACTCACTCTCCTTATTTCTTTTCAGTAGCTATTTAGAAAATTAATTTTATCTACATTTAATATTTCAGAATTAATAATTCAGGTTTTATGTATTATGAGCATAAGCAAGCAAACAAGAGATTCTCAAATTCCTTTTTTTTTTTTTAGATTTTATTTATTTATTTATTTATTTGACAGAGATACAGTGAGAGAGGGAACAGGAGCAGGGGCAGAGAGGGAGAAGCAGGCTCCCCACTGAGCAGGCTGCCCAACGTGGGGCCCAATCCCCAGATCATGACCTGAAGCCACCCAGGCGCCCCTCAAATTCCATTTCTTTTATTTTAATAAATTCAAGAAATTACGCAAGTCTTCATGGGAGATAGGAAACTGAGTTGTGGGTGAATTTTCCACAAGTTAGACTGGTTCTATTTTACTGATCAATTTATCCTACTTTGGGGTCCCTTTAAGATATTCCATCATAGAAGCTCAATCTTTAGAGTTCTTCTTCTACTTTTACCTACTAGTACTTTCTTTCCTGCAATTGAACCCTTCAAACCCCACCAGGTGGGCCTTCCCCAATCACTGTTTCACCAAAAATAAAGTTATATAAATAGGAGATATGGATATTTTAAAATATTTTTGTAAGAGAACTTGAAGGATTCTCCCGTTTTCTCTTCTTTCCTAGGTTATGAAACTTGGAAATCCTGAGATTGCCAGGAGACTACTACTTAGAGGTGCTAATCCTGATTTGAAAGACCGAACTGGTTTCGCTGTCATTCATGATGCAGCCAGAGCAGGTTTCCTGGACACTTTACAGACTTTGCTGGAGTTCCAAGCTGATGTTAACATCGAGGATAATGAAGGGAACCTGCCCTTGCACTTGGCTGCCAAAGAAGGCCACCTCCCTGTGGTGGAGTTCCTCATGAAGCACACAGCCAGCAAAGTGGGGCATCGGAACCATAAGGGGGACACCGCCTGTGACTTGGCCAGGCTTTACCGAAGGAATGAGGTCGTTAGCCTAATGGAGGGAAACCAGGCGGAGGGAGCTTCGAATTTGCAATGAATATGGGGAGGGCTCTCCCACACTGCCTTCTATTTTGTCAGTTAATTGGTTGCCTGTCCTATATTACTTTCACTTGTTAAAATTCAGTTTTGTCATATTTTAAACAGCTAGTTCAATCTTCACAGGATGCAAAGTGGAAATCTTAGTCAGATTTATGAATATATTTAAGCAACATCCTTTCACTTGCAAAATCCTGAGTTCTAACACATAACTGCAAATAGCTTTGGCTTTCTCCTGAGTATGTTATCTTGCCTTGACTTTTTCCTCGCTTCTCCCTTTGCCAGTCTCAAAACCCAACTTAAGAGACTTTGTTTTAAAAATGTTTTGTCCTGATGCTTCTTTTGCCTAATTAAAACACTTTTTCAAAACAGGACAATGTTTTTCTGTGTTTTCCACTCTATTATCCCCACATAGTTTGCCACTTGCTAAGAAGTGTACTAAAAGTTCACAATGTTATAAGTCTCAACATTAGAAAAGTAGTCGAAGTAAAAAACTAGATGTATTCTATTGATGATTCAGTTATTCTTTCCTTCCTCGTGTCTCCCCCCAAATATTTTACTTGGTGCCTCATATTTCTCTTCACAACAAAATAAGACAACGTTTTTTGAAGACCTGAAATTATTTCAATATAATTTCAGAATTTTTCTTAATGTTCGATCTTCCCCTTTTCTCAAAGTTAAGTTTAATAGTTGAAAAACAGGTTTCAGAAGTAGCGATCTGAAAACAAATATATATTAGCTAAAAGTAATTTTTAAAAGAAAATGTCACCTTAAAAGTGCTTCCCCCTAGTTTTTTTTTTAGATCACAAAGTGAAACAATTGGTTAAATAATACATTTCCCAAAATTATACCATAAGTATATTATCACAATTTTTTCTCCCTGAATGTCAAGAATGTGACATTACAAAATGTTAAGTCTTAAAATATAATGCAAATACAAATTTTTAGGGGATTAAAAAGTGCAGCAAGAAAAAAAATACATAAATTACATGTAAGGGTCATAACTAATTATATATACATGTAAGGGTCTTAATTGCAATATAATAAATATAGAAACATTTACAATAAGTAAATAGGCCACTCTTATATTTGGTACTTGATTTCCACAAAATTTTTTAGTAAAGGCTTACAAAATCTTCTTAAGAATACATTTAGATAAAAATTTAAAAAATTAAGTGAAATAGAAATCTCAAATTTCCAAGAGAATTGTCCAGCATCTACTACTTACTTTAACTTTAATTAAAGACTTTCATCAAAGGATTTCAATGCATTACCATTTATAAATTTATAAATACTTTATTCATCATCTCCGACATGAACAAAGATGTTTTATGTGAAAGCTCCCTCCTTCTGCTTTATAAACTCCCTGCCCTGGTTCCAAAAAGAACAAAATACTTTAAGGTTTATTGAAGGATATGGTTCTGATGCCTGCCCCAACAAGGATTGGAATGGTCGCAGGCAAGTGGTTTTCGGTAATTTATTTTCCATGATAGTATAAAAGAATATAGGAGAAAAAGTTTTATCCTTTTCACTTATAACTAAAGTTCACCTTCTTTAAGTACAATAAGACTTCAACTTCTGCCACCCCTGAGCACAAATTACTGAATAAATTTATTTTTGACAGTAACATGATATTAAATTTGAAATATTTAATTTTAAAGTTTAGAAAAAAGTAGAAATTGGGATGGTTTGAAGGAAAAAGTGTTGTGTTTTGGATTTTAAAACCAGAATCAGCATACAAAATACACTGCTTGAGAAAACGGAATACTTTCTAAACACAAGCCTATTACTAAAAAATAAAAACCCTTCTTAACACGTTGCAACTGTAAAGATTGATGTTTCTGAATTTAAAGTGGAGTTTAATTAACTTTTTCAGTATCCAAGTTTCAGCATTAAAATTACTCTTAGGAAATTCAAACCTAAAGGCATAGGGTGTCTATAAAGCTGGAGAGGAGTACTTCTACAGTTGCTTTATTCTTAAGAGGTTGGAGCACAGTAAGGGGAGTGGGAGCTCTCTTTCTCTTCATTAGTCTAAAATTTGCTAAGCATTAAAACATCGGCACATATCTTTGGCTCTTCGAGGAAATAGCTTTACTAATCTAAGTATTTTAGAAATGAGTTTTGTGGTCCCCCTCTAGGAAGCCACTATTCAATCTCTCAAAAACCTCGACAATATTCAGCAAGACTTTGAATGTGTAGAAATGTATACGACGGAAGAAAAGGTGCTGCTGAGTTTAATGCGCTCGAATTTGTAACGAGCTGAGGTAGAGAAGGGTCTGAGCCTAATTTAGATGCAGAGCGGGGGCGGCAAGCGCAAATTGATAAAGTGATCAGCACCCCCAGGAGACAACGCTGTATAAAGGATGGAGGATACTTAAGCAGGGAAGCGTTTTCAAATTCAGTTCTTCACTGCGTCCGCATCCAAGTCTGGAAACTCGGGCTCAGTTTTTGCCGAGTAAATTGAATTCAAGCTTATACCTGGGGGAGGAGGGTGACACTAATAGCACCTCATGCCACATTCTGGTCTTTGAGCCACTGAGCAAACTTCGTTTTACCCTATTTCGGTAGTGAATCAGTAGTTTTCTGATAAACATTACATATCTCACAATGAGGTGATGAGCTCCTCCACACACACTACCCTGGGTGAGTGATTAATAGATAAAATAATTCCATCTCAGGAAAGCAATTCAACTGGTAATCTTATAAATTTTCCTGATCATGTTGATGAAAAAACATTGTGGAATCTGTAGCCCGGGACTGGTTTCGAAATCTCAGTTCCCAAAAAGGTGCTTTTGGCTTTTGCCGGGGCGGGGTGTGGGGGGGGGGTAGGTAGAAGTAGTCGTTCAGAAGCGCTGCAAGATCACACAGTGCTGGAGCGAGAAAGGGCCTTCCTGACTGCCCTGAGCTACCTTCATCGAAAGATTCCGAGGGGGAAAGTCCCGGTCTTGCTATCTTGAGACTGTTGTAATTTTACACGGCAGCTCCCCCCGCCCCCACAAAAAAAGAAGAAAAAAAAAAAAAGGCAGATCCACGGAGGGACCTACTCAGAGAGGCAGGAGACAATCTTGCAGCGTGAGACCCGAAATAAAGCTTTGCCCATTGTCAGCCTAAGCCAAGCCATCTACGCAGGGGCTGCGAAGACATCCTTTCTGTCCCTTCGAAACTCTCCAGACGCCAACGGCAGCTCCGGCTCCCCAGTGAGGAAGCTGAGCCCAGAGCTCCCTCAGGGCGCGCAGAAAAGCCCGGCGTGGGGGTGGGGGAGTTTCAAAACCGTTAGCTCGCGTTGTGTGTGTGTGTGTGTGTTTTTTTTTCTTTTCCCTCCCTCGCTAAGGTTTCTTTTCTTTTCTCTTCCTGTCCAAATATTTCAAATTTCCGCGCCTTAAATAACAGTCTCCTTTTATTTAGTTAGTTTCCTCGGCAGGTTTGGCCGCCCGCTTGTCTCTACCCCCCATCGGGCCCGGGGCGTCTCGGGCGCCTTGGTGCTGCCTGCAGCCCCTGCGCGCTGCCCCCGGCCCAGGCTGCGTGGCCCAGAGCGCGCCAGCCGGAGCCACAGCCCCCTCTTGTCGCGACCTCGCCTGACCCGGCTCTCCCCGGCGCCCAGAGCCAACTAAGGCCGCCCCCCACCCGGACGCCTGTCTGCCTCCCAGCTCGCCTTCCCTCCCCGGACTTTGGAGCCTTTTCTGCTTTGGGGTTTGGATCCCGGTCGCCCAGGAGCGGCGGAAGGGCCGCTGCAATAGGAAAGCAACGGAGAAGGCCAGTGGCCGGAGCCTGTCCCAGCCCCCACCCCGCGGGTAACCTTGGAGGCGCCCTCGGAGTGAGTGTGTGCGTTGCTGCGCCAGCCGGCTGGGGCGAGCGGGCGCACCTCGCAGCGGGCAGGAGGCGGGAGCTGGGGGCGGGGAGGGGGAGCCGGCCCCGGCTCCTGCCGGCCGCTGCCACAGCGCCCCGGGAGCTGCGGGCTACCGAGGCGGCCAGGGTCCCTGGGCCCTGGCCTTCAGGCAGCGGTCCTTGAGGAGGCGGCGGCCATCCCACTGGATGGTTCCGGCGACCTGTGCTTGAGGACTGGGGCCGGAGGACGACCTGAGAGCAGGGGCAAGCCGGCCGGTGAATGCCTAGCTCTCCGGCAGAGGTGAGCTGGCGGCGGGACGCGGCGCGGCGGCTGGAGCAACTCCACGCCCAAAGCCAATGCCAGCGCTCACTTCTCCTCCCCCCGTGACAGCTGAGGACAGCCGGGCTCCGAGCCTTGCGTCCAGCTGCGAGGAGGCAAACGCACCTCAGGCTTCACAGCCCCTTAGACTATTCGGGAATTTGCCCTGTGGTGTTGCCTCCCCCTGCCCCCAAACTGCTAGTCGTCCTGGACAGAAAATGCACTTTCTTTCGGAAAGACCCTCGGCGCGAAATACAGAGATTGCAGGCCCGCCGGCACTTTGGGTGGGACCCGGGCGTGCAAAACACCTAGAAGGGGTCTTCTTGTTCTGTTTTTACCCGGAATAGATCCGAATATCGAGTATGAATCTTCAAGCGGTGTCTCAAAGAATAAAAACTCTTCAGATCTGGATATGGACTCGGTAAATTAATGTTCCAGTGAAATGTTTTGCCATCTGCTACAGAAACATTGTACAAATTTCAGGTGTTAGGCTGTGGGTTTGGAATTTTCTGTACTATCTTTAATTCTCAAAGACATTAAATAACAGCATGGTAACACACCCCGCAAGTGAGCAAAGGTTATCCTTGCCACCACAGCACCTGCAAAAGCACATATTTTGCTTCCTGAGTTCTAAAATGGCTTCTGAACGGTCCAGAAGTACCAGCACATACAGGGAGGGGAAAGGAGACGGGGAAAGAGTTTGTACATTAAAAAAAAAAAAATACACTGACATTATTACACTTCAATTAATCCACCTCACCTCTCTTTCTCTCAGCCCCCATCCTCATTGGTCAAGGAAGAATTTTAGGTAGGCCTATTCTATAATTCTATGTACAGCCTTTTTCTCTTCTCTCACTCCCTCCCCCCCCCCAAAAAAAACCAGTCGGCCAAAAATATCAGCTCTTTTGCGGAGGAAGTAAAAAACCACCAATCCTTATCCAAGCTACCCGTCATTTCTTTTGTGTACTAAAAAGAAATCCTACATATAACCAATACTATGAAAGAAGAAATTATTTACCTGGACCTCAAACACATTTAATTGGTATAATTAAAGTTATATTAATTATCTTTTAACATGAAAATAATGAGGCAGTTTCTGGAATTGATAGGTGAAAGGCTAAAAAAAATCACCGGCATGTTTGGAGGTGTAGCTTCTGCTCTTCTTTGTATTTTATCAGTATAGTGGTTACTTAGGAAAAAAATAAGTCTTTACCTTGACCATATAAAGCAATTATCATGCTGACTAATTTTATTTTAGTTACATGCCTTAGTTTTTGGGATTAATTATATATAGTGATAGTTCACTATAGAGCAAAACTGACATCTTATAGTGTTAAATTTTTACTTTGGAAATGCAACCAAATTATCACAACCATATTAAAATACAGTCTACTCCCCTGTTTCTTCCAAATGTACAATGCACACAACTTGCTGATAAAGAAGTCTGCCCTGAGTTTAAAATTTATGCTTTGGAAACATGATTTCCTAAAGTAAAAAATAACTCACTGGTCTTTAAGAATAATTATTCTATAATTTGGCTATTCTGTGTACAGCTAATGTAACAGTATCTCCTTGTCTTACATTTTGGAACTATTGTAAAAGGCATTTGGGCCCGATTAGTTCTTGTTCCATAGTTTTCTCCTTCAGATATTTTTACTAAAAAGTGACTGTCAATGATGCAACAGCATTCTGATGTACATTCTGCTAATCCAAAAAACTTGAGACCAAACCTATATAGGCCATTTTAAAAGGAACATGCATTTCTTCTTATGGCAAAGATATGATTGAATGTTAACATTTGAAAGTCCTAGAATAACTAATTTGCAAATCAGTTATTATACTGTAGTGATGATTCAAGATGAAAATTTTAAAACTTAATATTTTAGAAGAATAAGTGGGATCAAATTATTAAAATAAGCAACATTTGATGATGATGAATAGCATAGTATTTCCCATCTCAACACTCAAAAATAAGTAATAGTGTGTATTCCGGTATGTTTTTTAACTGTCAAGATAATAATATATAATAATCATCATTAGATATAGGAGTGATTGTTCCAGAGTCTTTTTTCCATTGCTAAGTAAAATATAATTAAAACACAGTAGCTCTTTTTAAAAAACACTTCACTACTTAATCACCTATATTTTTGGCTGGCTCCTTCTTCTTCTTCTTTTTTTTTTTTGCCTCCATATTTTAGGTGATGGACAAAAATAGCATCTAGAAAGAGGTTTCCGATTCTCCGTTATTCCTGTTTCCTCAGCCATCTGTTTCTTTATTCACAAACATCACTTCAACTTTAAAAATCATATATTGTGTGCTAAAAATTGTTGTTCCCATTAATTTAAATTTATCATAGGCCTATAAGTGAAAATACACTCAATCTGTATTTTCTTTAAAATAAATTTAAGTGGAAAAAGTGTGGATGTTAGGTTGTAGCAAGTGTGTATTTATGTTTTGAATATAAATTTGCTGGAATCTTAAAACCTATTTGATATTTGGCATATGCTAAGACTTAGTGCAGGATTAAGATCTGGAAAAATCTTAAATTTCTGGTCTCCAGAAAATAATATATTTTAATTTGCCATATTAAGATAAGATCAATTATTTTAACTATTAAAAAGTTAAAATGTTGATACAGAAAAATATGAAGGTACAAAATATCATTACACCACTATGATATCAAATCTAATGCAATACCTTTTAAAATAAATTATTCTTACTGGTAAATTGTGTATTTTAATTATAATGGACACTATTTTGCAGTTAAATTTTGCACTCGGCACACAGACCAGAGTTTTCTGTTTATCTAAAAGCATATAGTTGTTATCAGGCAGGTATTCAAAGTAATCCTTTGTGGTCCTATCCTATATGGGCATTTTTATGTACATGTGTGCATAGTTAGATATTTCTTACTAAAGTTCACTACTGAGCAAATAGATATTTTGAACAAATACTATCAATTCACTTCATATTATCATTTTAAGTTGTAAAATCATGATCTGCCATAGAAGTGTTAGCTGATAATTCTTTAGATATAAGTGAAATCATTTTCATTAATGATCCAGGGAAGGATATAAATTAAAATCTGAGAACGGAAAATACTGGTGCAGGTCCTAGATCTACTTTCATTGCTGTTTCAAATTCTTGTCATGAGGCAAATGTTTATGAAACTGACTTAACATCCACAATTAATATAATCAAATTTGAAATAATAGAAATAGAATTGTGATAGTAACAAGAGGAAGAATGGATACTTAAAATGTTTTAGATAGTCATGACTGTAAGTTAATTTAATTTCAATTACATGATAGGCAATTTGCTCACTAATCCAAAAACAAAGACCAAACAAGACCAGTAAAAAGGTATTTCCCAAGAATTCAAAAGCAGGGCAAACAAGATCAAAAATTTTTTTTTCATTGTACCACCATGGGAAATATAAACAAGTTATTTTCTTGGTATGGATAATTTAACAGTTTCCAGTGAAGTTTTCTACCCCTTCACTTGCTCAATGCTTTTAAAACATATAGCTAGAATATAACCACTTATTATTTACAGTCATATTTTAAAATTACATATATATTATGTTTTACTTAAAAACAACAGACACATATTCTGTCCCAAAAGAGCAAGTTCAGCACCATTCTGAAAGGGAGAGTGATACTGTTGGACATCCGGACTAGACTGAAGGACTGTTTAATGTGAAACCCAAGTAGGACCACATGGGAGAGAGCACTGAATTCACTGAATGCTGGCTAATTTGCTTGAGAGTAATCAAAATGGCTCTGAGCCTGGTATACATTGTTTATAGTTGTTTAAATACACAATGTACCTACTGGGAAAGCAAATTAAAAGACACATAAAGAAGAGATATATATTTTTTTGCATCTTGAAGACATCACAGATGTCACAGAGAAAACATTACTGTAGCAACATAAAAGAGAACTGCACATAATAACATCAGCTGAAGATAACTGGTTTCAATTTCTTAAGAAAGGCTTATGTTTTGAAGATTTAAAATGCACAGTTCTTCAAACATGTGACTTGTGTCTATAAAATACACAACACAAACTTATTAATATTCTAATTTTTAAAATTTCCACAAAAAAAGTTCTCCCAGCTATCTTTTAGTTCATCAGATCCTATTGAAATATCATGCACCATACCCTAAGATCAGCAAGTAAATGTTGTGGCTTATCAACGTAAGAGAATTTTAAAGATTAGTGCTTTCTAAGGAAAATGTCCTTCTTGAGCTATTAGGATGAAGATATGAGAATTTTTAGTAGCACATTTTGTCTTCTACAAAAATCCCCCAATTATATTTAGGATCAATGTAAAATTAATTTAACATTTCTAAAATAAAGTAATATTTTATGTCATTGTTTAACTAACATTGTTTTAAGTTTAATATGTAGAATTTAAACAAAAGAACTCTGTATGGCCTTTGTGAGATGTCTCTTTATTCAGCAACAGAGTAGACTGAAGAGAAATTAGATCAAAACATAAAATTCAGACAGAATTCAAATTATAGAACAACAATGGTATTAAGTCAACCAAGAGAAAAAATTGTCTCACATCATAATCTTGTTTATTTGGGGAAAAGAACTTAAGAAAAAATATTTAAATCTCTTCGTTAGATTAAAATATTGGGACTTTCTTATCCAATATTGTAGGGAATAAAATCCTAAAAATTTATAAAAGAGATATGAACATCCTAAAAAACAAGTGGCTCCCTGCATAGGACGTGTGATAATAATTGATGTGTGATGGTTCTCTGAAGATATTTAATGGAGTTATGAATATGTTAGCATACAAAAAGTGTCGAATTGAATTTTGTCATCATTTAGTAAGCTATTAAATTGTACATTTATAAGGAAAGTAGGGGATACTTTAATAAATGTCTTCTTTTTTGAACTTCTTAATTTATACATCTACTAATTCAGTTTACAGGAGAGAAAAAAGTACAAAATCAAGCATATTAATAAATCAACATTTATTATTTTGTATATGTATTATTTAATTTAATATTCATAACCCCTTTCATAGATTGGGCTTTATTCTTGCATTTTACAAATCAACAAACTCAGATTTAGTGATGTTGAATAGCTTGACCATAATCACAAGCTAATAATTTATAGCATAATGATACAAACCCATGTCTCCTTTAACTTCATTACAGCCAGATGGAAAGATCTTTCAGGAGAATTACTACATCAGTCAATTCAACAACCACATATTAAGTACTCATCATTGTAGTCACTTAATACATTTAAGACCTTGGGACTAATTATATCAGAGGCTTCCCACATCTGTAAAATGGAAGTAATAATACCTAATTTGCCATGTTATTGTAAATAATAAATGAAATGTGTATAAATCTCCTGGTATTCAGTAAGCCTTTAATAAGCGGCAATTATCTTTATGAAGAATACAAAGTAACAGAAAATCCATTCTTGACCTTAAGGAACTTAAAAACTATTTGGGTAAATAAAGTTTACATATGGCATACACATAACAACTGGAAAGCAAGGCCTAAGTGAGAGCATGGTGTTTTGTGGTGCAGATTGCACACACAAAAAAAGCAGTTTTATAAGGGAAAATCTTATTAGAAGACTTATGATATGGATTTAAATATCCTATAGTGGAAAACTTCCCTTACTGAGAAGAAAAAGGAAAAATAACCTCAAAATAGTTGACTGTTTTTCCAGCATGTTTTCTCGGAGGGTGTCTATATCTAGCAAATACATCAGGTGAACAATAGAAAGTAACAGCAAGAACATGAAATGTATTATTAAAAGCATAAATAAGTAGGTATTTTGAAAGGTATCTTCCATTATTTTGGAATAAGTGACTATGATACTCTGATTCAAATGGGAATAGAAAAATACCTAGGAGTTTCATAATCCTTACATAATGGGATCCATAATAAGGAATCAGTATAGGCTAGTGAGTGAATGGTTTTAGAGTCAAATAAACTTTATTTCCAACTCTGATACATTATATGTATCTCACCTTGGAACAGGCACTTACCCTTTCTGATCATTTCCACATTTGTAAAATGGGCATAATTATATTTACATTACAACACTATAACAATTAAGAATAGTATTTTTTAATAAGTCATTTTGTGGTCGAATATAAGAAAATTGTTTTGACATAAACCAACAGGTTTCCTGAGAGGTATTATTTAGTTATATTAATCAGAAGAAAAAGAAAATCCCTCTTAGATGAACATAGCCTTGAGTAATGCCAAGTATTTGTGGATTAAAAATAAAAACTTTGAGTTAAGGCTAAAAGTCATTGCTCCAAGCAGCTATATACACATATGTACTTGTATAATATACAAGTACATTCCGTTTAATAACCACTTACTAAATACCTATTATATGTGAGGTATTTTTCTGTATGCTATGTACACATAGCATATGGCAGTTTCGTAAGGGAAACAAAATACCATATACAGAATATAATAGGATATTAGGCATAATGAAGACACAAAAGAAATAATAAATTGGATTTGGAAAATAATAAGTACCTGAAAGAAAGCAAACTCCATTTTCAGAAAGTTACTCTAGATGAGTCAGGCAGACTTTCTTTTTTTTTTTAATTTAATTTAATTTTTTTTTCAGTGTTCCAAGATTCATTGTTTATGCACCACACCCAGTGCTCCATGCAGTACGTGCCCTCCTTAATACCCACCACCAGGCTCACCCAACCCCCCCACTGTCCTCCCCTCCAAAACCCTCGGTTTGTTTCTCAGAGTCCACAGTCTCTCGTGCTTCATCTCCCCTCCGATTTCCCCCAATTCACTTTTCCTTTCCATCTCCTAACGTCCTCCATGTTATTCCTTATGGTCCAGAAGTAAGTGAAACCATATGATACATGACCCTCTCTGCTTGACTTACTTCACTCAGCCTAATCTCCTCCAGTCCCGTCCGTGTTGATACAAAAGTTGGGTGTTCATCCTTTCTGATGGAGGCATAATATTCCATTATACATATGGACCATATCTTTATCCATTCATCTGTTGAAGGGCATCTTGGCTCTTTCCACAGTTTGGCAACTGTGGCCATTGCTGCTATGAACATTGGGATATAGCTGGCCCTTCTTTTCACTACATCTGTATCTTTGGGGTAAATACCCAGTAGTGCAATTGCTGGCCCTTCTTTTCACTACATCTGTATCTTTGGGGTAAATACCCAGTAGTGCAATTGCCGGGTCATGGGGTAGTCTATTTTTAATTTTTTGAGGAATCTCCACACTGTTTTTCAAAGTGGCTGCACCAAAATTGCATTCCCACCAACAGTGTAAGAGTGTTCCACTTTCTCCACATCCTCTCCAACACTTGTTTACTGTCTTGCTAATTTTGGCCATTCTAACTGGTGTAAGGTGGCATCTCAATGTGGTTTTGATTTGAATCTCCCTGATGGCTAATGATGATGAGCATTTTTTCATGTATCTGATACCCATTTGTATGTCTTCTTTGGAGAAGTGTCTGTTCACATCTTCTGTCCATTTTTTTTGACATGATTATCTGTTTTTTGTGTGTTGAGTTAGACTTTCATTTCCAACAAAATGAAGACTAGATTTTCTTAAAAAAAAAAAAAATCCGGGGCGCCTGGGTGTCTCAGTGGGTTAAAGCCTCTGCCTTCGGCTCAGGTCATGATCCCAGCGTCCGGGATCGAGCCCCGCATCAGGCTCTCTGCTCAGCAGGGAGCCTGCTTCCCTCTCTCTCTTTCTCTGCCTGCCTTTCTGTCTGCTTGGGATCTCTGTCTGTCAAATAAATAAATAAAATCTTTAAAAAAAAAAATCCTTGGGTCGACTGGGGGGCTCAGTGGGTTAAGCCTCTGCTTTTGGCTCAGGTCATGGTCTCAGGGTCCTAGAATCGAGACTTGCATTGGGCTCTCTGCTCAGCAGGGAGCCTGCTTCCCTCCTCTCTCTGCTTGCCTCTCTGCCTACTTGTGATCTCTTTCTCTGTCAAATAAATAAATAAATTTTTTTTTTTTTAAATCCCCAGGGCGCCTGGGTGGCTCAGTGGGTTAAAGCCTCTGCCTTCGGCTCAGGTCATGATCCCAGGGTCCTGGAATCGAGCCCCGCATCAGGCTCTCTGCTTAGCAGGGAGCCTGCTTCCTCCTCTCTCTCTCTTTGCCTGCCTCTCTGTCTACTTGTGATCTCTGTCTGCCAAATAAATAAATAAAATCTTTAAAACATTCCCCTAACAAAACAAATAAATAAATTGTCAGATAAAATATTTTTTTGAAACATATTTTGGCATGCGAAGTTCACTGGTAAGAAAGTAAGGGAAATCTAAAGAGACAAAAAATGAGAGAAAGTGAGTCCTGATGCCAGCTGCTCTAGGGGAATCAACTGGTCTGTAATGTGTTAGTTTCCTGGGGCTACCATAACAAGTACCACAAACTGGGTGGCTAAAACAACAGAAATATATTGTCTCAATTTCTAAAGGGTAGAAGTCTGAAATTATATCAGTTCCTTCTGAGGGCTGAGGAATAAATCTATTCCATTCTTTTCTCCTTGATTCAGGTAGCCTCAGACATTTCTTTGCTTGTAGATGGTGTTCTTCCTAGGTCTCCTTGGCATTGTATTTCCTCTCTGTGCATCCAATTCCCCCCTATTTATAAAACACTAGTCATAATGAATTAAGGACCACCCTAAAAACCTCATCTTACATTGATTATCCAAAGAAGATTATACTCACAAGTATTCAAATAAGATTATACTCACAAGTATTGGAGGTTAGGACTTCAGTGTCTTTGGGGGGAGACACAATTCAACCCACAACACCTGGTAACCTAAAGTTTTGGTTTTAAAGAGACACTAAAAGACAATGGCTAGGACCATCACGAAGTAGGAAGTTTGAAAGAAAGCCCCTCTGGGTTTTGTTTTTGTTTTTGTTTTTGTTTTTAAAGATTTTTTTGACAGAGATCACAATTAGGCAGAGAGGCAGGCAGAGAGAGAGGGGGAAGCAGGCTCCCCACTGAGCGGAAACCCGGATGCGGCCTCGATTCCAGGACCCTGAGATCATGACCAGAGCGGAAGGCAGAGGCTTAACCCACTGAGACACCCAGGTGCCCCCAGAAAGCCCCTTTGTAAAGCTAGAACCCCCACCCCTTCTCAGTAGTATGCTCAAAGAAAAGTTAAACTAAGTGTCTGTACAAATATTTGCTCTATTTTTATTGTTTTTCATTTGTTTATTTTCTTACTGAGTTTTGAAAGTTCTTTATATATTCTGGATACAAGACCTTTATCAGTATGTGCTTGTAAATATTGTCTCTCAGTCTGTGGCTTGTCTTTTCATCTAATCTTGTCTTTTGAAGAGAAGTTTTTAATTTAACGAAGTACAATTTATCAGTTTTTAAATTCTCCTGTTCATGCTTTGTGTGATCCAAGGAATCTTTGCCTAAAACAGGAAAAAAAAGTTTTTCTCCTAGAATCTTCATAGCTTTATAATGTACATTTAGGTATGTGATCTATTTCAAATATATATATATGGTGTGAGGTAAGGGTTGAAGGCTTTTTTACCTTGTATATGTATATCCAGTTGTTCTAGGATCACTTACTGAAAACGCGATCCTTAACCATTGAATTATCTTGACATCTTGGTCGACTTTTCCACGTATATATATGTGGAAAATATATACATATATACGTATATGTATACACATGTATAAAAATATATACATATATACATACATATATGTGTATATATGTGGAAAATATATACATATATACGTATACATATATACATATATGTATATACATATACATATGTATATATACATATATGTATATATGTATACGTATATATGTATATATTTTCCACATATATACACATATATGTATGTATATATGTATATATTTTTCCATATATATGTAGTCTAATTATGACTTTCTATTCTATACCATTGATCTATATGTCTGTCATTATGCAAATGTGTCTTGAAACCAAGTAACCTTGAAACCAATCCAACTGTATTTGTTCGAATTTAATTTTGATATTCCAGATCCTTTGATTTCTGTATACATTTTCAAATTTTAGAATTAGATTTAGAATTAATATGTCAAATTCTCAAAAGATGATTGGAATTATGTTGCATCTATGAATCAGTTTGGGGAGAACTGACATGTCAATAATTTTTAGTCTTTTAACCATGAATAACTCTCTGCTTATTCAGGTTTAAATTTCTTTCATTAATATTTTGCCACTTTCTATACAGATATTGCATAAAATTTGTCAACTTGATTCTAAACATTTCACATTTTTAAGCTATTTTCATTTCATTTCATTTCATCTCATTTCATTCATATTTCATTTCAA